TATAAAAAAAAAATAGTGCAGATGGAAATGAGTCCAAAATGTACGAGGTGGTGGCATCAGCTAGGGAGCTCCAAATTAAAGAAAGCAAGACGCAGGGAAATGCAGGAATCAGTTGGTGGCAGAGAAAGATATGAGTGAGGGATCTGTCTGGACTCTGGCCTGGCCCCATCACCTCATTATGGAAGTTGCTCTCATCCTCTCTGGAATTCTTTAATCACTTAAGTATATTCCTTCCACGTTCATTTATTAATTATAAATATTAATGTGGTAACGCTACTTACCTTCCAATTTACCCCTTCAATACCACCCATGATATTATAAATTTGCAAGCAAAGCATGATTTAGACCACTGACGACAGTGTGTTACTGTCAGCTCGTGGCTCCTCTATATCCCATATGCCCACTACCAAGCCATCATCATCATCATCATCACTTTAACAGCAAATTTCCCTGCTTTTTCAAATCATATATTCTTCATTTTTCGAATACAGAAAATCACTACTTTAAACAAACCTAAGCCATTAAGCCCCACTCCTCAATTTTCTTTCACCTACTTCATGCTCAATTTTGTCACGTATTTCAGAAATTTTTCAGGTGGCATGTATTTAGTGTATGAGTAATAATTGAACTAGCTTTTTCTTATTATAAGATCACGGTAAAGTTATGCAGATAAAAGAGAACTAAGATCATTGGACAAAGGGTGTCTGCAAGTTAATTAAAGATGGGTCGTTTATATTTATAATTATAATATTCACATCATTCAACGAAAAGTACGTGCAAACAAACTCCAAAACAAGAAAATCTCAAAGTGTTGATTTGTTTAGTAGCTAGCTAATAATTAATTGTTAACCTAGGATATGCTTGTCGCTCTAATTGGCTCCTGTATATTGATTGTTAATCCATCAATCACTTTCTATTCAAAGTGTAAAGTCGGACTTTTATAATGTTGATTAATCATCAAACAAGGACCAGCTGAACAATCAAGCACACCATTACCGTCTTGCTGAAATTAGTGGCAGTGCCACGACCTAGGGTCATGAAGTGCAATTAATTTAAAAATAATTTAATAATTTTAAAAATATTATACTCTACATGACTTCATAACATAAAATTATTAAACAATTATCTCATTGTCAATGTTAATAAAAATATTTTTTTAATATAAATCACTAAATAATTATTCATTAATGAATCTTCCATACATTATGGAGTCAATTTTTCATGAATTTTACAGTAGAAAAGCTTTTTGTTGTGACAATTGATAATATCATTTCTTACTGTAAAAGAGTATAAAATTTTTTAGGACACAAACATCTTTAAAGTTAGACTAAGGGATGCAAAATGTTAGAACACATGAATTACTCTTGCTGTAATTGTTCCTACATTTAGGGATACATTTGCCCCTCCTAATTCTATATATTGCCGCCCATGGTTGAAATCGACCCTTATCTGTATATCGTTATATATTTTCTTGTGATCTCGTTAATTCAAATTAATACGATGAGAAAAAATAATTAATTATGTAGTTCAGTCATTGATATATGACTCAATTTTAAAGCCTTATTTTATCTTAAATATAAGGCGAAGATGACATTGGCTAATCTTTTTTTCTAATATTGCCCCTCCTTAATTGCATTATATTGTACTCTCTTCGTTAAAAAATTTAAAACATTTTTAATCGAATCACCTCCCAATAAAATAGTTATCTATTTTTAAATTTATTTATTTTTTTATATTTATCTATATTAAACACTCTAAAATAAATATAAAATTATTATCAATAGGAATACTTAAAAAAAAAGGTAATAATTACACCTCGAAAGACTAAAAATGTCTTATATTTTTTAATATTTAACTCCTTAAAAAATATCTTACATTTTTAAACAAAAGGAATACGTTGTGTTAATAATATATTCAACCATCAATTTATGTCTAATATAAAAGGTTGAAGTGCACTTTAATCATTTAATTTTATATAAGGTTTTATTTTAATCTCTTAATTTTATAAAGTTACACAGTTTCTGTCTTTTAATCCCAACACTGTTAGTTTCATTAATAATAAATTTTTACATTAAACTTTTAAATATTGATAAAATATTTTTAAATGTTGATATTTTAAGTTTTAAATACATGCAAATATACGTATAGCCAAAAATGCTTCTAGTTTTTAATACAGCATAACATGTTTTGAGGAACAAAAAATAATTAGGTGCATATATGATCATGAAGATATCATTAAGGCTTTAATAAGAAAGTTGGTTGGAAAAGCAAGCCATTATAAGGATAAAAATACATGATGAGTTTATACCTATGGAAGATTCTTCACCCCATTGAGTCCTATCGTTTGTCAAAAAATATAGTGGCAACTATTCATCTCATCCCTTCTTTTTTATTATAAGCAAATCTTAAATTTAATTGCTTTTTTATGCATTAGCTAAAACAACCATATTTAGATGATCATTTAAAATATATTTCTTCCATCTCAAATTATAAAGACAAAGGGAGAAAAGATTGCCCACACTAATAAAACATAATAATGACACTTTACAAACTTATTTTTTTAAAATAAAATTATAAACTTTTAAAAATACTCTTACGCACCTAATCATTAGTTACAATATTATTTCAATTCTCTCTCAATCTGAAAAGTAATGTTAAAAATGCATCATTATCGAAACCTTATTTTTCACAAATTGTTTTTATATTTTAAAATAACAATATATCTCCAACTTTGTCTTTTAATTTGAGATGGAGATGGCATCTTTAAACTTGCTCATCATTGACAATTCTTTTATCAAATGAGCATCATTAAATTTGGAACGAAGTTAAGTATTAATATTAGAAGTATTTTCTAATGAGTTGTTTAGTTTGACTGATTGTGAGAGTTAAATTGACTAATCCTAATATATTAATTTTGAATTTTGGAATAGGCAATCACGTTAAATAAAAATACTAAAAACATTCTTAAGATAGTTGTATTGATGCAATTAATAATAATGATCTCACTTATCAGGGATATGGATTAGTTTGGACTCATAATTATTCAGAAAGGGGGGAGCATTTTATTATTAATATTATTATTCAATTTAATTTTATTTTTTTAGTGATGATGAAATGAACAGTACGAACTTTCTATATAAGGAAAGGGTTGCAGTGCCGAATCTGGAGTACAGAATTAAAATGATCAGAGTACTGTACAGTACCGTTAAGGGAGCGCGTGGGTGCACTTGTGAGTGTGAAAAGGAATTGATGGTGCGGCGCGTGTGGCGGTCGCAAATTCCAAGGTAACCAGTGCCAATCAACGGGGAAGGGGAAGCGATGATGATTTCCCCGTTATGCCACGTCAGAAATAGGCCTCTCACTGCCACGTGGACCACCCATGTGACTGGCAGACGTCAGTTGGACCCGACCTTCACGCCATCCTTCCAGGGCCCAGAAACATGCCCCACTTCCTAGAAAATTTCGTTAGATGGAGTTACAATTTTTGCAGAATATTTAAGATAAATTATTAAGATTTTTCAAAAAAAAAAATTAGGATTTAGATTGTGAAGTAAGTTTTTATTGTTAAAATAAAAAATATTTTTTTATTAGATAGAATCCACGCTTCCCATCCATAAAATTTTAGGCTTTAAATTGTAAAATAATTTTGAAATAATTGTTTACCATAAAAAGGTTTGTATATTTTGCAGTTGTAGATGATGAAGCTTTTTGTACAGTCTTCTTTTCCTCATCGTTAGATAGAATGAACGATTAAGATTGTCCCACTTCCCATTCACTTCACCAAAAACATTGTATGTGGTGGGATTCTACATGGATAAGCAAAGCTGCGAGCAACGAAAGATATTAGTCTTTTATACGTGTTAAATTAATGTTCAAATTTTTTATAAAAAAATATGTCAATATTTAATAGCCAATGGTGTACCCAGAGAAAAAAAAACCTCTGATAAAAAGTATATTTTTAATCCCTTTGATTTTTATTATAAAACAACTATAGTTACTAAAATAAATGATAAGTAGTGGTTAAATGATTGGCTTTGTTTAAAAAAAGAATAAAATTTTACATTTACCCATATTTAATGACAAATGTAAATTTGCATTATATTATCAATCATAATTAATAAGCTTAAATATAAAAAAATATTAAAAAATGTAATTAATACCCACCAGCAAGAACTTTATATAATGGATCATCAATATTTTTTAAAACATGTTTTATAATAAAAACCTAGTAGAGAACAAGGCAATAAAAAAAAAAAAGACCAATGCATCAATTTGTAGAGCATCCCCCCCCAAAAAAGAAAAAACAGTTTTTGCGCTTAGAGCAATTAATACCGTAACAAAAATTCTAGAGTAATGTAGTACATAAATTCTGAAATTAGTGTAATGTTAATTAAAACAGAGACCTAATGTTGATTGTTATTGTAAGTTTAGAGACTTATATTTTTTTTTTTTTACATTGAAAGTATTGTTGAAGAAATAATTTACACCTTAAATATGGTTTATCCCTTAAAAACATGGCTTAAATTTACTTTAAGCCTGAAAAGAGGATTGAATTCATGATTTATTTCACCAATATTTTGGTTTATAGCTGTACCTGGAGTTAATCAATATATGCAAGCCTATCCAAATTGGCGAGAAGATCTGATGGGGAGGAGGGTGAGGTCCGTGAGGAGTTACTTATGAGGGACTCCAAGCCAACCCCGCTGTTGACCGTCGGAACCCAAAAAACGTCCCCGTTTCGAGACACTCCCACGTGGCGGTCATGTCAGTGGGTCCCACCCCCCACCACAGCCTCTCTCCCCTGCCCCATCCTTTCCCTTTCAATCCCTATCCCCTCTCTCTCTCTCCTAATAATTCCGACCACTCCTCCAACCCTTCCTCTTCTTTAAATTTTCATTTTTCTTGTTCAATTTATGTGTTCTTTTTTCTTAAAATATATATATATATATATATTATTAAATCATCCATTTTTCCCCCATTTATATATATACCCACCCTCTCCTCCTTCTTCACCCTTAAACCATCCCTCCCTTCCTCCTCTGTTTCTCTTCTCCTGTTTCTAACTCTCAAGTACCTGTCGGTTCACTCACCCGCCATCCCTCTTTACGTTAATATGTTGCGTTGTCTGACCAGTTCGGAGAATCTTGCTGAGTCCTGCTCCGCTATGGCATTGTCAGAAAGGCAAAGAGACAGGATGAAATGGCAACAGCCACAGTCTCATCATCATCAGAACCAGAACTACTTTTCTGGAAGTGGGTTTGACGGTGGGTCCTCGCCTCTGCAACTTCAGAATTCTGGAGGATTGATGATGATGGTGAATGGCGGCGGCAGTGGAGGAAGTTCTGGGCTCGGTGAGGTGGTTGCTAATGCCGGTTCGGTGAAGCCCGACCCGTCTTGGGATAATGGGTGGTCCGAATTGGGCAAGGTCGACTTGCCTGGTCTGGGAGTCGTGTCTTCCGGATTTAACGTGAACTCTGTAGTTTCGAGGACTTCTAGCTGCCCGCCGTCTGTGGCAGCGTCGGCTGCAGCGACGGCGACAGAGAGGATGAGATCGACGAGTGGGAGAGAGAGCTTCAAGAAGAGGAAATCTGATAAAGCTCAGATCCCCAAGGTGTGTGTCATGTTTTGCTACATGGCAATGGAAAGCTCGACGTCTTTCTTTCAATCTCTTTCGAAACAACTAGGTCTAGATACATCTCCACGTGCTTGCATGGAGTTGATTGTCTACGAATTTTATATGCTATATTGATGATACCGATGTTTATTATCATGTACGCTTAAAGATATGGTAATGATCTAACGTAAACGAAAATCGTGTGTTCTCTGTGTTTAGGTTGCAGAAAATGAGAAGAACAAGAAAAGCAAAACAAGTGGCGAGGAAGGGGAATCCAAAGTGACAACAGATAATAATGACAAGAATAGAGAAACATCTGCAGCATCTTCGAAAGAGAATTCGAAAACTTCTGAGGTTCAAAATCAAAAGCCTGACTACATTCATGTCCGAGCACGTCGTGGACAAGCCACTGATAGCCATAGCTTAGCAGAAAGAGTAAGAACCAGAAAATGACCGATCCTTTTCTTTGTGGACTTTTCTTCCCGTAATTAAACAATGCAAGCTCTGTTTCGTCTTGCAGGTTAGAAGGGAAAAGATTAGCGAGAGAATGAAATACTTGCAGGGTTTAGTACCAGGTTGTAATAAAATCACAGGAAAAGCTGGCATGCTCGATGAAATCATCAATTATGTTCAATCTCTTCAACGGCAAGTAGAGGTTAGACATTACCCACTTCATCATTTTCCGTTAGGTTGAAGCTACAATCAAAGACACTGACACAGATCCAAAGGGCATGTGACTAATTGTTCTTCACATGATAAAATACAGTTTTTGTCAATGAAACTAGCTGCTGTAAACCCTAGGATTGACTTCAACATTGACGATCTGTTCACCAAAGAGGTAAGAGAAATGGAGATGGAAGAGCTCCCAGTTTCCATTAACAATAATATAATATTGCAAAGTCATTTAAATTAAAAATAAAAAAACTTTTCTTTTGATGATGCCTCAGGTTTATCCAGCTTGTACTCCTACGAGTTTTCCAGCCATTGATGTGACAGCTAATCCTGCTTATCTTCAGTTTGATCCAGCCCAACATGTTTCTTCATGTTGTGGATTAGATATGGGCATAAACCATCCAGATTTGGGGCTTCGAAGGACCATTGGTGCTCCTGTATCCTTCCCACCTGAAACATTTCTTGACTCATCTTGTTTCAATGTACATTCCTCTCTCCTCTGTATATCTGTCGTATAATTCATTGTATTTTAAGAATACTCATACCATGTTGTGTTAAGTTATATATATATATATTTAATTACCTTGGTCCTTGTGATCTTGTTATGGTAACCTGTGCTCTCAATTAAATCTGGTCTGCATGGATTGCAGCAAATTCTGCCATTTTCAACCTGTGAAGCTGATTTGCAGAACCTGTACAATGTGGCTTTTGATCAAGCGAGAACAACCACGACGTCCTTTCCTTCTCAACCATTCACAGGTAGCTACAAAATTCATGTGCTGTCAAATCACCTTTTTTTTTTTTTTTGCTTTTATAACCTGATATCTTAAAACTTGAAAGTAAATATTTAGTAGGCAGGATTTTTAATGTTATGACAGAGACATGACACTGAGAGCGGAGAGCCCCCCACGTATATTGATGAGTGCATATGAATTCTGAGACCTTTGTTTAATCTTTCTGACTCTTCTTTCCCTTTCCCACTTCTTTCTGTCATAGAAATAGCAATTAGCAAGTAAAGGTGGTGTGGACTTGTTGACCCAATGCACGTAGTATTTAATGCTTATTGGTGTTTCTGCATAACATGACAAAAGATATACTTACCATATCAACATCACATTAATTAATAAGTTTTCAATGCATCATAATCATGGGTTTAGGATTAAACATCTGAAGTAGAAAATTGATCTTTGACTTGCTTAACTTAGACCTGTTTCTAAATACCCTGTCATGGTATATATCTGCAGGCCTAATTGAAGCTAGCAATCTAAAGATGGAGATGTGAAGAAGCTTATGTTGTGCTCCAGCTTGATGGATGAGATCAGTGAATCTGAATGACTCTTATCAAGATTCTTTTTCTTTCTCAGTACATAACATATAAGATATTGTTTGTATACTTTCTCTATAGTATAAATAAGATATCTCAATTTAGCTTTATTTAGACTCCGCTGCCTCTTGTTCCTGTAACTAAGAACAGTAAAATACATACAGAAAGGCAATGCATAGGAGAAATGATACTTGGTACAACATGATAAAAAAATTACTGTTGATTGGTAATTTTTTTTAACTTATGTGTAATCAACTTTTTTTAAAATTTATAAACTTGTGTAATCTCGTAGGGTTACAAGTTACAACCTAAGTTTAGCAAGGAAAATCTTTTTGAGGAACCGTTGTCCTCTTGATATTAGAGCCACTAAATATTTGAGGGTGAATATCTTAAAAATCTGATAGTCAAGAACTTTTCAAGAATTTCCTGTACGAATATTTATTTTATCAAGACCCTTCAAGGTCATCTAAATATGTTTATTACAAATCGTTAACCAATGGTCAATTGTCATGGAGACATATCAATGAGGGATATGGGGAGGGAGGGAGTGAGGGAGAGGGAGGGGGAGAGAGAAGTAACGAGCACTACCTTTCTATTTCTACGCTAACATATTTTAACATGTTTTAATAACAAGTTGGAAAATTGATAATAAAATCAACCTCTTGTTTGGACATGTCCATCTTTTTTAATGTGTTCAACATCATAATGATTTTTGGAAGGGAAAAATATCGTTTATAGAGAAGGACTGATATGCACAAATAAATTTCCTATGCGCAAGCAATCATAGAAGAGTAACACTAAAAATGAGACTCAGTTTTTTATTTTAACTTAAAAGATACCATATAAATAGGGCTGAAAATGTTTTTAAGAACTCAAAATACACCAATTCATTCTTAAAATGAATGATTCAAAGCAGAGATGAATCATGAAACTCTAACCTTTGTGTGGACTAAAATAATCTTGAATCTTCTCAAATGAAGTGTAAAAAAATGTCAAAAAGTAGAAAAATCCGATTAACTCATGATGAGTTGTAACAGAGGAGGGTTTGAGGTTGGAAACCAATTAAGTTAATTGCTATGGCGGGTGAACCAGAGAGACAAGATTGAAGATGCTTGAGAGAGACAGAAGACAAAAGCATGATAGTGGACCTTGTAAAGGGCACCTTTGGGACAGAATAATAGTCAGTCGATGGAGACAGAAAATAGCTAAGGCATAGAATGATGAATACAGAGACCTAACCATAAGGGGATAGAGCTCGGGGATAACCAGACATGTCCATTTCTTCCATTTATTAGGCTGGTTCCTTTGTCCCTCGAGTACCCCCCAAAAAGAATTATGGTTCACCTCAATCAAATTTCAAACCCCACTTTTACTCCTATTTTTCTCAACTGGATTAAATGAATGTTCAAATGCTTTGTACAGTATCGAATAGACCCATTACTGTTCCATGAAATGAGGAAAGAGTATATTTTATGTTCTCAGTGTTCTTCAAATGCCTACAGACTCATTAACAGGTTTTCAGGCTGCAAGTTCAATATTGCCCCTTCTGTGTCCAGGTTTTTCAACCCCTTCTTCAAGTCTTCCTGAAAAATATTTCCGTCAATGTCTAGTCAAAGAGTAGTCATTTAGGTCAGAATTAGAAGACTCACCAAATTAGAGGAATGGGATGAAGAAAAAAGGGGAAGCGCCAACGAAGTTAAAACTAGGGATAGCCTATATGAACAGAGCAGTTCAAATGCCTGTTCCAATTCATCAAGAGACACAAGCATTGGGCCTAGTTTTAGTTTCAGTTTTAGGTTGGAGATGGTGATTACTGGGGGACCACTTGAGGCTGCCAAGTGCTGAGTGAGGCTTCTTCTTCAAGAGCCTCAGCTTTCATTCACTTTCAAGCCATATACAATGGCGAAAATGGTGGACCTGTCTCATCCATATAGCCCAAGATTTTGTTGATTCTCTTTGTTCCTATGGATGGTGAGAGATGACCTTGGATTTTCTTTCCCTTGTCCCACTTTTTCTTTATTTCAATTTAAAAAAGAAAAAAAATGTTAATAATTTTTTTTTAAATTATATAAATGACAATTTAATTTTTTAAAATGTCATAATTTCATTAAAGTTTTTAAGAATTTTTTTGTTATTAATAAATGAATATAAATAATCAAATTATCCTTTATTCAAATTGATAAATTGCCTTTGATATTTAAACTTTTGATTTATTATTACATTCTTATGATTTTAAGAAAAAAATTATAATTTTTTAAATAAAATTTGCAATTGAAACTTGTTATTTCTAACACTAGCAATATCAGAAATTTAATACATGTAAACTTGTGATTTTTTATTATATTCTTACAATTTTATGAAAAAAAGTTATGATTTTTGAACAAAATTTATGATTAGCACTTGTTATTTCTAACACTTTAGCAATATTGAGAAATTGACATGCGAAATTAAAATTTGTTGTTACATCCTTGTAATTTTAAGAAAAAAGTTATGATTATTTAAAAAAAAATTGTGACAAAATTAAAGATAATTTAGTTATTTTTATTAATTTATTTATATAATTTAAAGAGATTTTATCATCATATTTTCAAGGAAAAAAAATCCCTTCTCAAGTCTCTCTTTCCCTCCCCTCCTGTACCTTTCCTTCACATGGTCTATTCCAACAAATTTATTTCAAAAAACAAAAACATAGAATCCATGCAGCACAAAACAAAAAATAAAGTGTAACTCTAATGGTCAAGACCACCTTATCCTCCCATTTTTGTCTCACTCTTGCTCGGAAAATCCGACTTCTTAACCACTAGACCCTATAATAGGCGAATTTGAACTTGGAGGGAGGAATTCCACTTTGTAAACCATTTGGCATATTTATACAACTGGTCCTGCTGATAACTGATAGGCAGTGTTTTTTTTTCCCCAATATTCTTAAATTCCAAAATATTGACCTTGGTTTGTTCATCCATGGATTGATTACACCTTCTATTATAATGCGAATGCAATATAATGGACTCCATATAACAAGGGAAAAAAAAAAACAGAGATAAGAGAATCAAATTAAATCATTCAATTTTACATGACAAGGCCGTTCAAAGTTCAAACACAGACCGAGAACATGCTAAATTATAATCCATAAGGTGGACCTCGGGAATTATGTACACTGATTTGCAAGAACCAAGCAAATGACTTTTTATTCGACACTAATGCACAGAGTATTCACACATGTATTTCTGAATCTCTATGCAGCGGAAGAGCCTAAGGTTCAGCCAGATGAATTCCCTACACTTGCTTACCTTTAGTGTCAGTTTCTTGCTCAACTCTGTTACCAACGAAGTAATGACTTCATCCCTGAATTCAAGGCAATAACCATTGTTGATTTGTCCCAAACAATAACATAGCCTTATGATTTGTTTACGAAAACAAGGAAAGATTGAACAAGCTTGGTATATCGATGTGCACTACACACTTTATTTAGTCCTAACATTTCCAAATGAAGCCTAGACTAGAGTGCCTAAGAATTCACTGATTGTAGTATACTTCACATGTGGGTACAGCTCTGAACCCTCTACGCCAGACCTCGAGTCGATATTGAAGTAAGTGTGATCTCCAAGTATGAAAGCAGAATATATAAATAGCTTCTCAAAATTGTCTGGGAAAGTAGTCTCTGCAATGCAATAAAATTACACATTTCAATTAGATTATTTTCATTCTCTTCCCTTTGTGCTTCATGAGTTGCATTGATTCTACATGTTCTGAATAAATAGAGAAATATGCATATAAACGTTATATTAGAACAATAACAAGCCTCATCCGACTAGGTGGGATCGGCAATATAAATTACACTGCAGTATTGCACTCTGTCATTTATCAAGTTTTTATGAATGTTGTTAACTAAAAGATTTTAATCAACAACTTCCATAAGTTTTCTCTTTATCTTTCCTCTACTCCTCTTTATAGGGTTCAAAATCGTCTGTTTTGCTTTCCTCACCAGTGCCTCCCACGATCTTTTCTATACATGTCCAAACCATTTCAAATGATTTTTTATCATTTTTTCTTCAATAGATGTTACGCCTACTTTTTCTTGTACATACTCATTTTAAATTTTATCTTTATATATATACTCGCACATCATCTCAACATTCTCATCTTCATTACTCCAACTTTATGCTTCCTTTAAAGCCCAACATTCACTATCATATAATATACCTAATCTTATAACAGTTCGATAAAACTTCCACTTGAGTTTATTAGGTACCTTTTAATCACAAATAATTTCTTTAGCCTTCCTCCAATTAAACCACCCAACTTGCATCTTATGTATAACATCCCCATCAACAACTAATGTAAAACTCTATTGAATCTCTTATGGATATAAATGTTATGCAAACTACTAAAATACCTTTAATGTTCTTAAGCAGGTCTTCTTCAGACACATGAGACTTCTCAAGCTTCTTCCCCGTTTTGGTCTCCCATAAATCAATTAGCTCACTAATGGAATAAACATTTCCTGGTGGTCTCAAGTACAAAACTTTACATAATGTACGAGGGTCATCCACAGCATTGATAGTGAAGGCGGCAACATCACTTTCCTCAACAAAGACACCTGCCATTTTGACTATGAATGTGAGCCAGGGGGAAAAAAACCTATTTTATATTTTGTATAGTGTACAATGGAGCTTGAAAAAACAGACCTTTTGTATTTCCATCACCAAATATAGTGACCTTGTCCCTAGGAGGAACTTTTAAGCCTGGTTGAACAAGAGAAGGAATCAAAAGGCTCATGAAGAAATTGCAGGAGATGCAAGTATATGGAATGCCTTCAGCCTCCACGAGTCGTCGGATTTCTACTTTGTGTTTGTAGAAATTATAGCCAGCATCAAGGATAGAAATTCGAACCTTGTCAGGATCTGATCCAAATTCTGATGGGACGAACCTCTGCAAGACATCACAAACCAAAGGAAATTATTAAACACACAAGAAAGTTGAAAAAGAAGGGGGGAAAAAACTTCAGCTGTAAACACATGAACATATAGAACAGCAGCTGATATTAGGTTATTTCCATATCCCCCCCCCCCCAAAAAAACAAAAAAAGAAAGAAAGAAAATTTGGTTATTTCTACAAAGAATCAATAGAAACTCATCAAACCATCTTAAACACTCACTTTAATGAGCTTTTGCTGATTAGCTCTTCGTACTTATTTATCCTTGAACTTCATCTCTAAACAAAATCCCTCCCTGAGAGATTTGAAAGGGACTTTCCTCCATTTTCAACCTGGCGCAAGGGAACCCAAGTTGCCAAAGCATGATGTTATTTTCTCTTATTAACTGAAATAGTGTTTTTTTTTTTTTGTTAGCTCTTAGTTATTGCAAGGATATATTTAAAAACTTTATCCATACTAAATCCCTCCCATAAGATCTTAAGGGCACATTCCTCCATTTCAACCTAATGCATGTAGGAATTTATCACCAAAGTAGTCTTTGAAGAATCAATCCATGTTGATAAGGCAAAAAAATTCATCACACAGAATGTTGTCATCTCTCACTAATTTCTCTAATTCCTCAGTAGCTGCTACATCCTACATTTAGCAAAAGGATAGAAGCTAGCTAGTAGAAAATCAAAGCAAGAGGTAGTAGAGAGTGTTTAGTAATGGAGCAATATGAAATAAATGAGAGAAGATGAGAAAAACATGAAGATAACAGTAGGCTAATCCTTTTTCCTAGAAAGAATCAAAACTCATCAAGGCCACAAGCTCACCAAATGTTTTCTCTACATATTGCCATGACTACTATCCCCTTGTAAACAAAGGTCTAGTGCTAGCCAACAAAATAACAGAAAGGATAAAGACTGGAACTAACCAATCGAGATCCTCCATAATCACCACAGTAACTCCAGTCCAAGAGATTACAGAAAAAAGAGATAATATGTGTAAACATGAGATGTAAATTCCACAAATAGTCATATTCTTGGTACAACTCTCTCTTAGAATATATGAATGTCTGAATATAGAAGTTCAATTTGCTCCTTCCTGCCAACAGAAATATATTTTACAGCTTATCGATTGTACCAAAACAATTTCACACAGGTCAGTTTTTCCTTCTTTTAGTCTCTTCCTCAGTTTACCACTCATAACACTAGCTCTTTGTTGGTGCCAGGATACGGATTCAAGAATTTTTCTGTGCAAAACAATAAGATTTGCAGAGCCCAGAAAGACAAATGCACAAATGGATAAAAAGATCGAATGAAAACATCAAGAGGTTGATAACCTTGATGGAGCCAACTTGTTTGATGACTTGGATAAGAAGCTTCTGGTCAAGAATCTGTTTTGCTGAAACAGCTGAAATCACTACATCCACTTGCTTCACTGCCTCAACAAGGCTCACTTCATCTTGGAGCGAACCCTACAACATAGATAAAAAAGTCAACCATAAGATCCACAGAAACAGAAGTCAACCACATAGATTGAACCCAGAAAACGAAAACGTGAAGAGAAAGAGACAGACTTTAAGAATGGTTGCTCCAGAATCGGTGAGAGATTGAAGCTTCCGAGACTTGATAGGGTCAGAGAAGGCAGACTCTCTTGCAAGAGCAAACGTTGGGTGAGAAAAATCGAGGCTTGCTTTGGTTAAGAGGTACCCTAATCTTCCAGTTGCCCCAATTATCAAAATTTTGCTTTTCTCCATCGCTGTCTCTCTCGGAAAACCCAGAATTCTAGAATTGCTAAAGTGGCAATTTGCCAAATTCACTGTGAATCTTTCCGGGGACAAAGTAATTAAACGAAGGAACTCAAAGGCAAGATAGTCAATGATACTGGCATGCCATTTTAGGAAATTCAAGCTTTCCTGGCCTAAGCAATTCACTAGGGTGGATTGTTTGACTATATTAGTATATTAGCTATTGTTTAATACAAATATCAATCACATGAGTTTTGGACCTTTGGCTTCACAAAGAACTACATGCAGACTTCTGTATTATAAGCAGAACTGCTCCTCTGGTCCAGCAAGAAGGAAATAGATCAGCCATGACTTATAGGTGACATCTTCGTACCTTCGAGCTAGTACGTGAGAATCTAAAGGAGCCATGCGTCATGACACCTTAAAATCGCCCTCGTTCTGGGCTTTTGTCCCTCTTCTCAACACATTTGTTCAATTGAGATGAGGAAGCATGGCGAGCACTTGTTTGCAGCTTTTTCTTCACTCTTCTTTGCAACTTTATTAAAAATAAATTATTCACAATTTTTTTATTTATAATATTTTTTTAAATTTATAATAATATAATAATAAATTATAAAATCACATATTAAATTTTTTATTTATTATTATATTATTATGAATATAAAAATAAAAATTATAAATATAAAAAAATTTATGAATTATTTATTTTTAATAAAAATAACTTAATAATTTATATAAATTTATTAATAAAAAAATTTAAAAATTTTTAAAGAATTATAACTTTTTAAAAAATTAAATTATTATTTATATATTTTAAAATAATTTTATTATTAATTTTTTATATTTATATCATATTAGGTAGATTATTATTTTGACTCCCACATTTTACACTGTCATTGACAAAAGCAGAGACAATTATTTAAGCTCCAAAGTTGGAATCTAGAGGACATTTGTTCATTAGGGAAATTTTATAAAAATATTAATGAAAATTAAAAAATTCAAAATATTGAAATGTTATGAAAAGATTATTGTCTTTATTTATAATTAATATATAAGGTTAGCCATGAATTTTTAAAAAATTGGCTGTAAATTTAAAAAAGTTCACTTGTGAATATATAAAAAATTAATTGTTAATGGACATTTGACCAGAAAAAATTGTGAATGGATAGAATGAATATATACATCCTTATTGGTGAATTTAAGAATAAACATTTGTAATTTTAGAAAGTTATTTATAAATTTATGAAAAGTCAAATATAAATGGATATTTACAATTATGAAAGGACTCCTAAATTATTTATCTACAATTAAATAAAGTTTGTAATTTAGGCCAAGTCTAAATTTATTAAAAAAAAGTTAAGATTATACTTGACTATATAAATTTTTTTAAGAGGATAATATACTTTAAGTTTGATTCATAAATTCAACTATTAAAATGTTTGGCTCTATATGTGTCAAATACAAATTCCACCCCGAAGTATTTATTAGGGGAGTTGACGTGTTTGTGTTCATAATGGCTTCAGGTTTTTCGCGTGGTGGAGAACTACGTCCAAAGTTGCGCTACAAATCTGAAGGCCATTCAAAAGGCCAAAAATACAAAATAGAGTCTAAAGTAAACAGATTTATAACACCGGCTTCCAACAATCAGTTATCAAAACAAGCAAAAAAACAAAAATCGTAGTCAGAGGTAAACTACACCGAAAGTTATCATTGGTCCATGTTCATGAGGAATAGAGGAAGCGAACAGGAATTTAGAGTGCAGTAAGTTTGGAGTTCCCCACAAACGCAGATGATAATCGGGGCGCTTGTGTTGGAGTATGCTAAAGTCCTTCATTAAGAGTAGGGCTGGACAAAAGATTGAACGGGACTGAACTTTAGCTTAACTTAGAGTCTAGTCTTTTTTATAAAAAGGACTGGGTTAGGTAACCCATAGTCCGGTCTGGTCCTATGAAAACCCGGAGATTAACAAGACTGGACTTAGTCCATAGAACTGAAAGACTGGTCCTGTTAGTCCAATACTCACTTGGCCTTTTTTTTTCTTTTTTCTCTATGATGACCAAAAATCTATTTCAACTTAACAAACTCAATTAAGATAATAAAAATACTTATAATCATAATAAATTCATAATAATTTCTAACACCAAGAAAATAATATTTTAGTTACAGTCCAAACTCTAAATGATTTAAATACATAACTTCAATAAAAAATCAGAGGAAAGACCGAAAATAGACCAGAGGAAAAAAATCAGCAAGAACAGAAGTAATAAAAATTAGCCCACAGGCATGTTCCTTCAAAGTTCAAACAGATCAAGATCAGAGTGCAAAGTGCAAGGCAGGGGCTAGGGCTTTGGCGCATTGAAGAAATTGAGAATGAGAGCAAAGTTGAGTGAGTGGCTGAGACGCTAAGTGCTGTTGAGTAACAGTGTTGAGATTTTTTTTTTTTCGATTAGAGTGAAAAGTGCAAGGCAGGATTAAGATTTTTTTTCTAAGGCTTATTAATTAATAATTTATAAATTAATTTTAATTATATTAAAATAATTATATAGGACCAAACCGGACCACTTAGTCCAGATGCTTAGTCTCTAGTCTGGTCTTACCCGAAAAATCAGTCCTGTCTTGTTGGTCTTTTTGGTCCTATAGGACCAGCATTTTACAGGATTAGACAGGATCGGATTTTCATGGGTCGGACCGGACCGAACGAGACCACAAGACTTTTACACAGCCCTAATTAAGAGGGGCGATTGGCGCTTATATCCAAAATTGGACTAAATTCTGATATATATAAACAATGAAGTGTCCGTTTAAATTTTAATTAAATATAATAAATTATAAAAATAATTAATTAAATAATAGATTTAAATCATAATTAATTATGTTATAATACAATTTGTTTGGATATAATTTTTTTAAAATTAATTTTAATAAAATTGAAGATGTTTAGATAATTTATTCAAAATTAATTTTAGCTATAAAAATTACAGTAAAGGACATTGTTTTTCAAAATTAAATTATTAATAAATTTGTATATAATATTGTTAAAGTTGTTACATTTTATTTAAGAAGGAAAATATATTATTTAAATTACATATCCAATTAATTAAAAAATTTAAATTATATTAAAATTAACATTTAAATTTACATAAATAAGTAATTCAATATATCTTAGTTAAAATAAATTTAATAAAAAAGAAATATTTAATTTTTAAATACCAAATATTAATTTTACAATAACTAATAAAAATGATAATATATAAATTGATCTCTAATGACATCATGAATATAAGTTATATTTAATAAAAATGTTAAACACAACTTTAAAATTTTAACAACATAAATGTAAAAATATAATAAATGATGCAAAATCTCTCTCGCTCTTTTTCAACACTTACAACACTCTTTATAATAACTCTAACTTTTAAATTAAATATTTTTTTTACCAATTAATATTTTATTTAAATTAATTTTATAATAAGGACTAAATGAAAGATGATGGTTAACACAAACTTATACTAACAACTTTTTTAAAAATTTAAAGTTTAAATTTTGTTAAGAAAAAAAAGGAGTAGAAAATTTGATTATATTTTTATTAAATGTTATACTTTTTTATAATTTTTTTTAACTTTTTTTTATAATTTTTTCCAACACTTTTGATAAACTTTTAACAGAAGCTCAGATCGTTGGCTTTCCAAAATAATCGATTTTAACTAAAATGATCGATTATGGGCTGTTTCGGGTGTTCAGATAATGGCTTAAAAAAATCGATTTTTTCAAAAATAGATTATATACATATCCAAACATGCACGAAGTTTACTGCCAAGTGCCAACATTAGCATATCTTCTGGTATCGTAAAACTAAGTGAACACTACCCATTTTTCTGTGACTGCATATTGGCACCCATTATAGTCTGGAAACACAATCCTTCAAGTAAAAAATCAACTACCCTAAATGTTCACAAACCCTAACACTTCTCAATCCAGCGAACAAGCATCCTTCAGAGCATGCAACCGCCTAGCTTCATTCTGCACGAGATCCACTGCTACTCGCAGAAGACTTCTTACCGCCATACTTCTGAAAAAAATTAAGAGTAAAAGATGCATAAAATGAAGCAATCTTCTGCTGGACTTCAGGCACAGATACACAAAACAAAGTATGAGAAAAAAATTCAAGCATCAGAAAGAGATAAACTCGACCTGCTTTCCGATGTTCAATGGAACGTATTTGTATTTGATCATGTGTGCAATTTGGCGCCTCATGGTAAGGACAAACAGAACAATCCAGTAACAGAGTAATATAGGCCAAAAGACAGGAACATCAAAAACGGAAAAGAAGGTCATGACAAAAGCTATGCAGAAAGCTTTTGTGAAAGAATACCTGCAACAGCAATAACAAACGCAAATCATTATTTTCATGTGTGTTGATGGGCATGGGCTATCGCGTTGTTCCCCAGCAGAAACATGGAAACTCTAGAAAGTGAGCCTGTAAATTACATGATTCCTTGACCACAAAAAATGAAAAAGACTGCACATAAATAGGGCCACCCCCTTCCCAGAAAGAGCATGGAGGAGAAATATAATGATTGATGAGACCAGAAGAATTTTAAACAGGACAGATTGGAAAAATAGAAGACAGTAAATTTGTTAATGACAGTAATATTATTAACTCAATCAGTTTTCCAGAAAGGTCATGAAACATTCACAAAATGTTATATGAAAATAGGCTTACAGAGGTTTTAACAAGTACGATAAAAATAGGTTTCTGAGAATGTAATTTGCACAAGGTATGCTCAGAAATTTAAGGTATCCAGTTCTTTAATGAACAAGGACAAAAAAGTAAGAAGAAAGTAAAACTGTTGAAATTTAAAATAACAGGCTTAAAGGCATGTAGACTAACCTAATATGACGCATGACCCTCTAAATCATCACAAGAACAAATACCAGGGAGAAAGATAAATGAGTGGAATAAAGTTGATGATAAATACTCTCAATCACAAGTTTGCTACACGGGAAACAATGCAACTGAGAAAGTGTGTTTCTGAAGACATGTTAGGAAAGATAAACTTGTTCTGATGCAATTAACTACTGCTGTGCCAACAATCATCAATTTGCAACCAAATGTGAATAGTGGCAGTGGTAAACAGTATAGGCAGCGTGAGCAGGTAATAGACTAATAGCTAGTAACTGACAACAGGAACACCTCAATCTTCTCATTAACCAATTATAAGGACATCAAGTTATTTTTCCTTTGTGAAGGGTTAATTTCTATTGACCAGAAAAATTTTCCCAAAAAATCAAATACAAAGTTGAGACTCGAGGCACTATTTTCTGGATAGTTGTGCTCTTTGAATAACCGAAGCCTGGACTGCCAAATGGAATTTAGCATTGCTTCATAGAAATATCAGTAGGTACATTAAGATAAACCAAGATATCAATCTATATCACATCAATTGTTCGAGACTCAGAGGACTGAATACCAGATGACAGACACCAAAGCTGAAATTAAAATCTAAAATCCAAATAATTAACCAAGGATTCCTACAAGAAAGATTGTAGGAGTCATCTTAAAATGCTAAACAGAAATCTTAAGACTATAATTGGCAATAATGTAGGTAACAGACTAGCACAAAAATAAACTAAATTACCAGAACTTAAATTCAGGAAGTCGGCGAATGAAAGGTTTGAACTCATCAGAACCTTTTGTTGGCAGCAAAGGTCCATCTGAAGGTTCCAGCTCTGGATCAACCAAAGGGGACAGAAACCCAATCAACAGATTCAGCAAATATATTCCCAGCCCATAAGACACAATGTAGAATCCTTGGACATAATAAACCCTCAAAACATAGATTGATGCCAAAACCAAAGTCCCAGTCCATCTATACGTAGTATGAGGAGTAGTTTTATCAAGATAATATTGAAAGAGCCTCATAAAGTCCTGCATCCCCTGGCTTACAGGTGCAGCAGATGAACCACTGCCGCCTCCAACTCCCTCCATTCAATTAACAACCTGCGTAGACATAATCATGGTTTAAAAACAAGCCCTTTATTCAACATGACTAATGCCTGACAACCTCCCATACTTCATTGCATAAAAATAAGCCTACCACCGACACTACTCGAGTTGAAACATGACAATATAGAAAGGCAAAAGGAACTTATATTTTATTGAAGTACATCAACACGCAGAACAAAGAAAGCATTTCAGAATCAGGAACATCAAATTTTACCAAAGCAGCCATCAAATAAACGGAAAAAAGAACGATATAATTTTTAAAAAAAAAAAAGATCCGCAAGAATCATTTCTCATTACATGTGAAATACGCCCGAATTTCTGCAAAAGAAGATGTGGAAAACAGCCGGGCAAGAACAAGGTCTAGAATAATGAAATCGGAAGTCCTAATAGGTTAAGCAAGGAACAAAATCGAAGGGAGAAAAGGAGCTAACCTAGAAGAACTGTCGAAGCTCAAGAAGGAAGAAAACTGATGGAGGGAGGCGAAAAGTGTGCGGATCTAGAAGGAGACGGGAATATGCTTAACCTTATATCAAGAAGGAAATGAAATCCAGAGAAGAATCGAAGCTGACCTGGGCGGACCGTTTGAGCTCGACGAGGAGGACGACGCCGACGAAATTTTGGAGGAACCGAAAAGTGGGCAGATCTACAAGGAGATGCGAATTTCCTTATTATTCGTTTCGTTTTCTTTTTCCCTACTTTTTCATGGGGTCTATTTTGATATTTGCTGTCCTCTCCGTCGTCGTATTGAACAGGGAAACGTGAATGAGCCAATGACGAGCGAGTGTGCAAACGAGATGCTGTGGGAGTCCGCCCAGGAAATTAGGGCAGAGGCCCGTGAACACGGAAGCGCGAGCGCGTACGTCCTAGCATTGAAAATTATTGGCCTGTTAAATTGCGCGTTCATTTGCCCCCGAGGACGATATAAATTATCATCATATATTTGGGGAAGACAATTTTTTTTTTTAACTATTTTTTTAACCTTGTTTTTTTTTTTTTAACAACCGTCGATGTCATGTCTGTCAACCCGATCACTGAGGACCCGATTGAAGACCACCCATTTCATGACATCATCATCATCATCAAAGGAAGCCATGGGCTCCTCTTTTTCAAATTTCAAGTGCACCGCCTCTCTGGCTCTCTTTAACTTCATTTAACGGAGTTTCAATTTTATTGCTGATAGACTTGATAGGAATAGTTTTCAGTCCCCACTTCTTTTTTTTTTTAAGAGATAGTGGTTGATAAAAGCTTTGTCTGCATTTAATTTGTGTTTGATTTTTAATTTATTAAAAATTTATTTATTAAAAATTTATTTGATGGAAATTTATTCAATAAAAGTTAGTTATTAAATAAAGTTTATATTTGAATGTATTTTTTTAAAAAAATCAGTTTGATAAATTGAAAGTTATTTAAATTATGATATTGAAGTTTTTGAATATACAATTATAAAAGAGAATATTAATTTATAATAATTTGTAATTTTTATCGTACAAATGTAATATATTTAAAATATTTAAAAAATGTAATAAAATTTTTAAATAACACAAAATTTGATATCTAATGTTAAAAACTTAATCTCTAATTATTTATACTTTTTAAATTTATAATTTTAAAAAATATGATAAATATTTATAATTTTTATTATAAATTAATGTTAAAAATTAATATATTAATTATTCAATTTATAATGTTAAAAACTTAATATCTAATTATTCTTATTTAAATGATAATTATATTTTTTAATGAATTAACTATTTCTCAAATAAAAGAATAAGATATTAAATTTGAGGTAGGATGATTAAATTATATTTCACTTTTTAAAAGTTTCATCATTTCACGTCAACCAAATTCACTTTCAATAATATTCTCAAAGCACTTTTAGGATACATTTATAAGGCTTATTTGATAATATGAAAGAATTTTTAATTGAATTGGAATCATAATAGAATTAAATTTTAAATATATATTTGATATAAAGATAGAATCCTAGAATAATTTTTAATGAAAATATGTATTTAAAACGAATAAAATGACCATAGTGACATTTTCTCCAAAATTATAAAGATTTTGTTCATCCCTTGCTATTAAGAAATAAAAAGAACAAAAAAAAAAACTTCTCTACAACCCACTATTACACCCCTTATGGTTGTGACTATTTGCTTCTTCACTTTCAACCAAATACTCACAAACAAAACCTCATCTTATTGTCACTAGAGCACAGCAACAAAACAAATCCTTAAAAGAAGAAATAAACAATTAGAAAACAGAGTCTTGCAAAGTCAATGTTGGTGAGGAATAAGATGAACATTGACAATGATGTCATTCAACATGACTAAAGCATTGAACGGGTAAAGTAAGAACTAGGGCCGGGAGATCTAAAAGCAGCGTCAAACGATGGGGGTGTTAATGTTGTTCATTGCTAGAAGGAGATGTGCAATATTGCTCAAGGGCAGTGTGGGTGATCTGTGCAGTTGAATGGTTTAATAAAGGAGACTAAAGCTGCCGCCAAAGGAGGAATGATCAAAAAACAATGTTGCTAAGTGCTGTGTGCAGTTGAAGGTTATGGGGAAAGGAAATAGTGTTTGTACTATCCTAAATTTTAATTTCCAAATTAACTTAATTAATCAAGGGTAATTAGATGAAAGTTAGTGATGGCTAACGAGCCTAGTTGTATTAAGTACAATCTTCAAATTGAGTCCAAAAGTGTCTTAGGCCACTTGAGTCCAAAATGGAAGAGTAAATCGACTAGGCTCATTATATGCCATCCACCACAATAGAGGCACCATACACTGCAGTGGATAGTCAAATTTTTTAAATAATCAATTTGCGAGTTGCAAGTTGCAAAAAGGAAAAAGAAAGGAGAAACAAAGGAGCAGCAATGAGAGAGACTTTATTTTTGCTAGGGCATCTTTTTCTGAGCATTTTTGGAGGTGATTTTAGCTTACTCTCATCTAGGTATGTTTCTTTATCCCTTCATCTTTACCTCTACACAAGTTTAAGTTAAGATTTTGGGTTGGAAAGATGAACATTTTTTAACTTAAGGTTATAGGTCCAAAGCTATTGATTCTAATAGAACTAATGTGAGTTGTTTAACCTTTATAAACTTAGTTTTAAAGATTTTAAAAGACTGAGAGCTTGGGTCTAGAATTTTAGATAAACCCTGACTACTTTGAGTAAGATTTTGGATTAATGAATGATATATTAATTGTTACTTAAACTAATGAGAGTTAGATGGAGTTAATAAAAGTTCATAAACTTATTGAACAAGAGGTTAAACTTGTAGTCGAGAATTTTAGTTATTAAAGTGTCAGAGTGGAAGTTGGGAGTGATATGTATGTTGATTATTACTAATGAATGATTGCCATTAATTGTAGTTTGACCTTATGGCACTTCTTTTGAGCTCATACAAGCTCGAGAAGCAAGTTATTAGGGGTAACTTTAAGTCCTCAAAGGTTTGAGGTAACTAAAAAATTCTATCTTTTATATATCCTTATTTGAATTGATTAGTAGTTATTGTGAAACTGAAATTATATTTTTATAGCTTAAATCGGTATTTGTATGTTTTGGAAAATGATGTAAGTGTGGCCAACATTTTGTGTTGAAAAGTCTTTCTTACCCCAATATCTAGGAGCATCTTTAGGAGATACCTTGGCACGTATATGTGTCCCATCTATGGCACTGATATAATCTTTAAAATATGGATAGAATTTACCAACTTTACTATGTATTTCAGGAGGGATCATAGAACTACTAGGTTGGACAATTAATTTATTTTCTAATTTAAGTATAGCTCTCAACACTCTTTGGAGATGACAGCTAATTGTTTCACCCGAACGTCGAAAAAAGAAGTTTACTACACTATTTTTTGCTTTATGGGTTATTATGAAAAGGGTTTTGGCAACTTGTTCTTCTACACTTGCCCATCATGTTAGTTGTAAGCCACAATCTTTTTCTAGCATACTAAAAAATTTTAAGAAGGCTTGAGAACCTATTCTAACAAGATGTCACCCATTATCACTGCTAGTTATGCAACTCATTATTTCTTTATGTACTCTTTCTCTCTTTGAGCTCATATTATAACTCACTTTTCTCATATTATTAGACATTAGGAGTGCACAATAACTTGCAACAAGACAAATGAAATGAGCTACAGGCCTTCGGCGCATATCCAGCCATTCAATCAAAAAGTTATCAGATTCTATCTAACAAAGGAAAATACTTGTTATTGAAACAGATTTCAACACCAAATAGGATAACAAAAATAAATATGGATTTTACTTCTAAACACCACCTCATGTCCAGAACAAACTATAAAAATCTACAATGTGATTTTTTTATCATTATCCTATAAGATAACATTTCATGATTTTGTCATTATCACATACCATAAAAATATGTTCTACATGGTAAGATTTTGTCATTATCCTATAAGATAACATTTCATGATTTTTTAAATCAGCATATACCTTTAAAATGGTTTGTAGCCTGAATTTTGTGATCCTGGAGGAGTTCAAATCAAAATTGTCCTTGCAATCCAAAATAATATGCTGTAAATAAGGGTTTTTTGATCTTTTTTCTAAGAATGGCACTTACTGCTGGAACATTGGCTGCTATAATTGGCACAGTTGAAATTGATTTATTTGTTGATATTATTGGTTCTTTCCAAGGATTTTTATTGCTTACATTAGTCGTCTATTTTCTTTCTACCCTTTTCTATAACCTTTTCTGCCTTTCCAAGGACTTCTTTGTTAATTTTGATGTGCCTAGTGAGTATAATATCTTATTAGATTTATCTTAAACTCACATTATTTTTTCAGATTTTTCTTAGTTAGGGAGTAGCTGTCGTGTTATTTCTAAAGATTTTACTCATAAAATCAATGGCAAACTTATTTGCGAGCCTAATCCATGAATAATGTAGTAGGCACTGTCAATACAAATAATATCTCTTATTCCCTAGCATTGAGAAAAAATAAAAGGGAACAAAGTAGTGCTCGACAATGGTTTTTTGCTGAATTTGAGCACAAACTTCATGATCAAACGAATCACATAATAAAAGCAACTAAAGCATTTTAAGCTGTTAGGTCTGGCTTCTCTACCATTTCAATCAACCATTCACAAACAAGTCACGATTAGACAAAATAAAAGGGGGTGACAGAATAAAGAAAGCACAAAGCAAATTTTCATCCAGCCACAAACAAAATAAAAGGAGGCAAGAAAATAGAACAGAAGGCGGATGATGAAACCTAAAGGAAAAGGACAACCAGGATGGGAGTGGCGATGGCAGAGGCGACAGTTACAATTGCTATGGTGACGATTGTAAGTCACGATTGGTACTAGCGCAAAAGGAACAAACGATGCTGTCCAAGCCTCTAAGAATGGTCAGAATTAATGAAGGAAAATGGGTTTTATCTAAAAAGGGCATTTTTGGATTATCAAAATATAATATGGGTAAATTAATCAGAATGAAACAAAATTATACATCTTCCCTCCATAGCCCCCATTTTGGAGGGGAGGGGAAAATTTGTTTTCCCTCCCCTTCCCTTCATTTTCAATATCTAAACAAGAAGAGGGGAGCAAAATCCCTCCCCTCCCCTCGCCTCCAACCAAACAAAGGGTTAGAGAGAGTTTCAATTCAGTGATTCACATACTCAAAACTTTTGTAAAGGTGAGGGAGAGATTTTCTTTAGAATCACGAGAGGTTATTCTCTTAAGAAAAGAAGCTTACTAGTAAAGTAAATTATTATAAAAGCACATGAGTGCCTAAATTGAACTTATGAATGTACTAAGAT